TTTATGTTAATTTTAAATATGGAAATATATGAATGTGTACCTCTATGATAACTTTTAAAATTAAAATTCCATACAAATATTTAAAAATAATATATATATACGTTTTCCATTAAACATAGAAGGAAAAATAATGTCAACCAGAAACAGTAACAAACAAACAACCATTAAATAATACCAATAGAATCTCACAGTACTGTTTTACAGACTGCCATAACTTTTCAAAGTAATCCACAGAAATTATTTACCCAATAATCCGATTAAAAAAACACAGCAGAATTCTGCTTGATATTCTTCAGAGACAACAGTGTTTTTATCTAAAGGCTATGAATCTTTTTTCAGTCAGTGCACAAAGACTGAATTTGAAACAATCAGATTCTTATTGCACAGAAGTTACAAAACCTCAAAACAATTAAAAAAGAAAACATAAAAGAAAAAATCAGAGGATGTGGCGAACTGTGGTACTAAAATAAAATGTTAAGGTTATGTCTTGAATGTTCTTAAATATTACATAATATTTGCTTGTTAAATAGGAATAAGAATTTAACTAATTCATGGCTGTGTAGAGTAAGACCACTAAAATCACTGTTGAACTTGTCAAATCAGAGATTAGATACATTTTACAGCTTTCTTTTCAGACCATATCTTGGGGCAAATATCTTCACTATTGTAAATTCTGATCCAAGTTGATTTTTAAGTTGCCTTTTTAAGTGTGTTATCTCTTAGAAAAACTATTCTCATTTCTTTCTCTTTAAATCTATGTTACCATCATCAAAGTGATCCTGGACTGACTAGAGTATGTTCCGTGAAAAAGCTTTTCATTGTCTCACACAGAACTGTAATTTTCAATGCTCTTCAACAGTGCATTACTTATACTTAACCTTCAAGTTAATAGTTTCCTTCTTTTCTCATTTTTGTTATTCTTTTAAAGCCTCTAATTCAAGTACTCTGTATGATATTGCCAATTACGTTTAAAAAATTTATTTCAATAGCATATAACAACTAGCCTTGCAGTGTACTGTTATTAAAATTAAATGGATAACAGCATGCAATACAAAATTCAATGTCTTATTAGTCCTTCAATTTTTATAGTGGTCAGTAGTTTTAAAAAATAGTATCCTGAACAGCAAGACACTCATAAACAAATTCACAATGAGAAAATGATCAGATAAAATGTCCAATTTTAATACATAAAGCAGAATATTTTTGTTAATAGAAAAATGCCCAAAGCACTCTAATGGCCTTTGGCAGTTCTAAAGAATATGTACAATTTTCAAAAATAGTCAAAGCTTTAATCAATTTTTTAAAATTAAAATTTTAATTTTCCCTCAAATCAGTTTGAAGTTCACATAGGTCAAACTGTTTGTGGAGATGTTTGTATAAAGATTTTCTCACAAGAATCTCTGCCATTTATTGGAAAGTGCGACCCTGTTAAATAAATGCAGCTCTTGATGCAGGGTCTGGGTCATGACTCTCTTCAGTGTTTACTTACTTTATAGAGCAGGCTGATACCCAGTGTAATGGCAGTACCATGGCTGCATGGAATACAATTACATAAATCTACTTCAGATAGTTAGAAAAGATGATACAAAGTGCAAGGCTTTTTTTTTTTCTGAATCATTTCAATGTTACAATGCAATTGCATTGTTCTGCTTACACTTATCCTTCAGATAAAGATAATACCCTGGTAATAAAAAGATGTAAATTCACTCAGATGCTGTTTGATCAAATTATGGAAGTACCCTTAACCATACTTTGTGCTGTTACATGATCATTTTATCTCATTTCTTGTTATTCCAATTGATTTACTTTATAAATATTGCTTCAGTGTATTTCACAGCAAGTGGCTATGTATGACCAGCCCTGGAACAGAAGAAGAGTTATTAATCTCTCAGCCTTTACCCTTTCATTAGATTTTTCTGGGCAACAAAACATCTGTTCTCCTCTTACACAGATTTTTATGTACTGTTGATGCTCTTTCTTAAACAACATCAGATGCATCACTGATTAAGGACTTTGCTTATATTCTACTTGTAATATTGATCATCTCTACACAGAAAATCTGTAGAGCATGTACAAAAACGTTATTTTTTTCGCACTCTTAACCATGGGAAAGAAATAGATTTTTTTTTTAATTAATGATATGGCAAACAAAGCCCAATGGTATAACCGGACAAGTGACTTTAGTACAAAGGCAGTTTCTTATCTTTTTTACTTATCTGGGGGTTTTGAAGAGTAGTTATATGTAGATATAAGTAAAAATACTTTTCGTACATTATACCTTTCAAACAATAAATATGAATGGAATTGCTTATGTTAGAAAAAATATTATTTATTTGTGTGTTACTTTTTCAAAGAAGTGGGATTTGACTGTTTTAGTTTTTGGGATTGCTTACATGCTTAAAGTAGAGACTTTTGAACCCTGTTGAAATCAAGAAAAAAAATACAAGTTAATAAGTTCATATTAAACCCTCATATAAAGTGCATTGACATAATGGAAAATTTAAAATAAATAAAAATTCTACTAATATTGTTGATATCCATACACATTTAAAAACTACCCTGTTAGGGCGTTTTCAGTGTGACAAAAGCAGGCTCAAATCCTGCAATGTATTTGTTTATGCAAGTGCTTAAGTAATTTTTACAGTTTTTGGGGTGATGTAAATCAGCTCTAAGCAGTTTGAGCCTTCACAGTCAGGAAGGGAACATTTTCTGTGAATGTACTTACTACTATATCAGCAGCACAACAGTTCTGGGAGAAAATATTAAACAATTTAATGGTGAGATATAAAAAACCAAAAAATCCAGCAGAGCCTTCTTAAAGCAGAAATAACACAGGGGTGCAACCTGTCTACTTAGTCATTACAAGCCTATACCCAAAGGAAATGTTTTTGAAATTCAGTGAGACACAGAAAGGGTCACAATACAGAGTATAAGGAGATGTAATTTGTGCAATAGAAAAATCTTCTCGGTGGAGTATTTTCTGTTTTATAACCTCTGTGTGTTATAGCACAACTTATATTTTTTTTCTCCAGGTATTTATTTCAACATTTTGTTAGATGTTACTCTACTTCATCTACAACCTATGTAGATACACAAAGGGTTTTACACGGATTTTTCGCTTTTGAATGTGAAGGTTAAAAAAAAGCACATTCACCATCGATCGTGATCTGGCATTTTTGCTAGGTCAAATATTTTCTTGTCTTATTTGTGAACTAGGAAAGATTTCCAAATTTGGAGTCGCCTATGCATAAAGTGAGACTAGTTGGATGAAAGGCCACAATACCAACCATCAGGTGACTTAACTCAGTATAATCTAATTGAAGTCAATGTCATACCAATCAACCCAGTGGAGATATGGCACAACTTTAATGGCATATAAATTACAGTACTGATTTGTAAATACCTTAGATTTATTGGTTTGCACTGTATTTAACAATATAAAGTGAATCGGCACAGACAGAAATCACTACTTCCAAACTGGCTTTTAGGAAAAGGAAAAATATCAATTTTTAGGTAGTGACTGTAATGAACTTGTAGGACAACCATGAATATTTTGGTAAGCTATCAAATGCTTATCTAATCATCATGTGAACATTTTAGTCTGGATACACACTCTCACAATATGCAGAAAAAAAGTCATGTAAGGAAAGCCCTTCTAACATTTATGTGCATGTGCCTAGTTTGGAAAGAAAAGCAATAAGAGTCTGGATTGAAGTAAAGGAATATATTCTGGCTGTTTAATTTAACATATAGAACCCTGCCCTATCTTGAAAGGTGGTAGAAGTTGATGTTGCTGGATTATTTCATATGCTGCTAAACAGCCTAAATACAGGAGAGGTTTGTAGTAAGACTTCTCTTCCCAGTGCGCACAAGCACACAGCTTGAACTTCATTCACATGCACAAGGTACACAAAAAAACCTCTTCCACTGCTCTCACAGCCAAATATAAAACCAGTACTGGACAAGTGTTTTCCTTCCATCTCAATAATTTATGACCAGGGCTGGCTCTAGTGTGTCATTGTACCTTATAAACATGTCCTGTAGAAGCACTCTAGTAAGGGAAGTAAGGATAAGTCTAGAGATGACAAGCCATTTCAGGTGTGGCTTCATTAAATTACTAAAAAAATATTTAGGGCACAGGTCTGAGGTTCCTTTTGGCAAGCGATTTTTTTAAAAAATGGGACGGACATTGCTTCAAATGGAAAGACTATTTCTTTGGGGATTTCTTCCTCCTTAAATTGCCCTCTATCACACTAAAAGACATGGAACTAACAAAAAGTAATTTTAAGCAGAAACTTTGCAGTTATGCTTTGTTGTACAGAAACAGAAAATAAAAAAAAGGGAAAAAAGGTACAACTGTGCAAAAAAAATAACAAATGCCTTTTCCCCCTGGTGTCATGTCTTTGGATATGTACAGCCTTGGAGAAATGTATAAATCATTTTATACATGGAACTCTTAAAAAACTAGAGATTTTTAGTACAAAGGAATCAGTTCACTTCAAGAATGTCCACATGCTGTTGCTTTATGATTTACTATATACACAAGAGGATCAAAGAAAGGACCTCTGTTTTACAGTTACTACTGTACTATACATTAACATGTGGCTAATACCCTTCTCTGGGTGAGATTTACACTTAGTATTACAAATAACATAACAATGCTGAAAATACTGATACAAAACAGCTTCAAGATGACATTTTAAAAATATCCCTCACTTTCATTGAACTGTTTTCTCCAGGTTTTTTTAAAGTTTTCAGCTCTATAAAAGATTCTCCAAGAAAATAGTAGCATTTAAAATGGTTTTTTTTTTGAAATTCATAGATGGATTTTTTTTTAATAAATTGTAATCCAAAAGTCCATTTTTCCAGGAAATAAACAACTGTAGTACATAAGCTATGGTTTGCCTTTTTTTGTGTTTGTTTTTTTTTGGGGTGTGTGTGTTTTTTTGTTGTTTTTTTTTTTTTTTTTTAACGTAGTATAGTACATTTGTATCCTGGAAAAAAAAATCCTTGATTACAGCATATGTTTAATTTATTTACAGATCTGAAATACAATTGCACACATCAAATTTTGAGATGAGCAAGACTGAAATGAACTGTTAGTAGGAATCAACTGTCCTCTGAATCCACCATGACATTAAGAGATTGCTCAGAACAGAAAGTGATTCTGATTAGTGAAATTCTCTTACTACTATTTTTAACTTTTTTGGTAGACTTTAAATTATTAGTTGCAATGCAGAACTGGGAGTCTTGGATACCCATAGTTAATTCGGTCAAGCTGTGTTTGCAATTTTTGCACATTCTGTTTTGGCAGTAGCAATGTACACATGAACATGAAGAATTTTGGCAAATATTTGTCTTCATTCTTATGTATCCATCTCTGGATACTCAAAATTATCACTACAGAATATTTAGACAAAACCTGCTCTCTTCAACATCAGATAATGTAATAAAATCTGCTCTAACCAAAATAAAATCCTCAATAAACAGAAGCCGGAAATTTCAGGCTGCTGAAATCACTTTGCAGAATATCTGCCAAGCTCATAGTCTATTTTTTTCTTAATCTAACCAATCCTTGTGTTAATCTAAATATTAAGTAGTGAAGCAGATATATTTAACACTAGGTAAAATTGGATCATTAATTCATTTTACATGCTCTATGTGACTTACCTTTCAAAAGTTACAGATTTTTAGTGGCTATTTATATGCTATTTCTGTTAAGTCACACTGCCCTGCTTCTTCCTGTGAGAATGTGCTGCACCCTTGGCTTTCTTAATCACCAGTTAAGAGAGAGGGGACTTGTCTCAGATCTGCCTCAATTGTACTTAAATGTACCAGATTACTTATAAACTACTAACTGTATCTCCTTCTATAATTCAGAGTACCCTCCATCGGAGAGATTGTAAACTAAGTGTCATGTTTAGTATATGCCACATGTTTAGAGTAACTTGACTCAGACGCCTGTTTTCAGGCCTTCTGAGAGGGGAAAACCAGATCTTTTGCTACTGACAGGTCTGCAAGTTCTATGGTGTGATCAGATGATTTCATACCCCTGTGAGACCAGGCATTAAATTAACCTCACTTTTGTGTAAGATGTCAAGACAAGCAAACCTACTGAGTTGGTATAAACCGGGTTCTTAAGTAGAGATGACACAGCCTATAGAAATTTCGACTTATGCAGGTAATTTGGCCTGGGTAATAAGAATTCTCTTTTGTCTTTCACCCATTTTTGGTTTGGGAAGTGAAATGAAACTATAGGATGCATTATACAGCAGAATGTCACACTGCATCATGAGTGATACACTGCCTGTAAAGCACAACCAGACATGTCCTTATAGAACAGAAACAAGAAATGTTGCTAAATAAAGGTGGGAGGAAGGAAGGGAAGGTTGAGGAACCAAGCTGACATTCTCATTGGGACTCAATTACTGACTTGAAAACCTGGTGAGTCTCTATGGACCTTGCTGTTAAAGGAAAATCACTCATCTCCTCTCCTGTGGCATGAGGCACTCATAGAACACATACAGCAGGACCTCTACAAGTCAGAAAATTTCACTGTATTAAAAAAAACATAACGTAAAAAGAGGGTCCTTAAAGATTTCTGACTCCTTATTTCCCTAATCTCTATAAAATTCAAGAGGGTTTACTAATTATTATCTATTCATTCCTCACATCTACTTTAACAGTAATATCATTAAACATACATGATATTATTTAAGATCATTTTCTAGAACTTTCAGGAATGATAGTGACTTATAGAGGGGAAAAAATAGTTTGCCAATACTGGACTAGCAGTGCCAGCCAAATGGTCCCATTTATTATATCCATGGTGACTTCCGCATGACAAATCAGGCTAGTTATTTAACAATTTAGTTCATCCTTTTGCCTCAGTCCCAGATGGGAAAGTATGGAATCTACAGACAATGTTAAATTTTTACGTTATTTTTTTCACATGAAAGTAGCAACAGATGACAAGTGAAGACTGAGTTCTAGGTGAGCTTATTCTCCTCCTTAAACAACTCTCCTTCCATGGCAAGAATATAAGCACCTTTTTAGCCATCTTGTTGACCTAAAGTCTGTAGCTCTGCTGTGTGTAAATTGTGGTGAAGAAAAACATTTTTCCTGCTATACATGTGTAGAGAGATGGGTCCCCTTGGAGGCTGTCCAAGTCTCCCTGTGAAGGTGGTGTGCTGCCGAGGTACAGCAATTTGGTCTTTTGGAGCCCCTGAGAACATTGGATAGCTGTCTGCCTTGGATGCTGGCTTTTCTGTACTCGGTGCTGTGATAGCCAAACCATTCTGGGTGACCTCTGAAGCGAGGGTTTCATACGTGCCTCTAGTATGCTTGATGACTTCCACGATCTCCTTCTCTTTTAGCAGGTTACTCAGACACAAATTAGACAGCTGACAGCTCTTGCTTTCATAGGCTGCTGCTTGGTTGCCTGACGGGTGTCTAAAAGGGTCCTCGGTGGGAGTATGTGCTGACTTTCTGTCCCTTGTGCTGAGATTTTGGCTCACCATTCTGATTGGATATGTAGTCTGGGGAAACAAGACAAAACAAAATTATTAGTAAAGAACACAGCAGAAAAATGGTGTGGAATATATAAAACACTCCTCACTACACGTTTCTGTAGACCCAGCACATGGGTCTGGCAGACTAAAATGAAAGATGACTCTCAACTGCTGGTAAAACTTCCAAGGCACTGCCAGCATAAAATAAAAGTACTGTTCATTCATATTTAACAGCATTAACATTGACAAATGCTTACTACAGGTAATGATTCAGGCATTTTCTTTAAAAAAACATAGTTTAGATCAAAGGAGGATAATTTTTTTTCAGAACATAATAACTGGATAAAAAGTTTCCACGAACTGTAAACAGATTTTCAAAAGCATTTCATATGATGAAACAACGAGAATTTTCACTGCATACAGTTCTAGACTTAATACTCTCAAATGCTTACAAAATCTAAAGAACATGTTTTATAAAGATCTTCATGCCTTGGTTAAGCTTAGAACATGCTCAGTTCTTATTGTTCCTTGAATCCAGGTGTTTTGTTGCATATTTACAAGTCAAATACAGAGTAATAATTTTATTTCAGCTGCCCAGTAAAAATACAATGTAAGATGGATTCCAGCATGTTACCAACTTCTGATGCTGTGTAATTACACATGCATTTGATTTTGTTTAGGTGATGGAAATCTATCTCTACATGACAATGATCACTGCAAATTTTCAACGTGTAACTAGTGTAATACTTCATATTGTCCTCCACAGAACACCTGACTGAGGATGAGGTGATGGTACACTTTCCCTGGTTAAAGCAACTAGTTAATCTGCAACAAAAGTCCAATTTGACTCCATATAGGTTTTCTGCAACAGAATTCTAAAAGGACATAGTAGCATTCTTGACATTTACATTAATATATGAGCTCTGACATTGCAAAAAAAAAGCTGAGAGAAGAAAAAATGCTACCAAGCCTTACAACAATATTTTGCTAAAAATATTTCAGGATGTTTCCCTGATTCTGTAGTGGTCATATACACTACTCAGTAAAAAGTCTAGGAATTAAGAACCATTTCATTCTTACAGCTGCTACTGATGTGCCATCAAAAGCATGTCATGAATTTGTTTAATCAGTAAATATCCCTATTCTTGTCTTCATTCAATCAGATTACTCAGTCATAAGCAGCATGACATGTGAATAACCAGAGTTTAAACATGTTGCTGTAGACCTTTGTGGCTTTGGCTACACAGGTCACTTCTAGTGAGAAGCATGACCATTGCTAGAAGTCTTGGATACAAGTTGTCTTATAATCTTAAGAATTTCTAAGCTGTAACTCTTGCCTCTTGAAATAGAATAAAAAATAAAAACTTGTAGGGAAAAAATTCTTGTGAAATTATTTGTAACAACAAGAAGATTTTAAAGTAAATAGAGAAGAATCAACTGATCTTGAAAATAAAAACTGCAGTAGCATGTTCAAAGCAAGGCATACTGTTGAAACTGGGTACCAGTAACAGGTCAAGGCATGATTACATGATTTTTTTATACTGCTTTTTAACTTGATCTTGATGAAATGCTGTTATGAATATCTGGCACTGTGGTGTTTCTTTGCTCTTCCTTATCAAGGTTATATTTCACATGAAATATTTTCAATTTAGAAAATAAAGGCTGGTTTGTAGGTCTACAAAATACTTGCTTCTGGTTCCTGGGCAATGGGGGGAGAGAGTTTGTGTGTATGTATCAATAAATATTTAATAATATAGATATGGTTAGGGAAGCTCTTAGTTTTGTGAAGTTGTAACTTGCTGAAATTCCTCTTCTATTGAATAATTAAACAAATACCAGGTGATAACAAATTAAGACTAATTCATCTAAATTTTAAAATACCAAAAGAAATTCAGAATATGCCATCAGTACTCTAAGACATTGGTTTGGCCACATCCCCAGCAATAAGATAACAAGATGGTTAACAAGGAGAGACAGACTCATTCTATCAGATGCATAGTTAGATATGAGCAGAGATTTTAACAGAAACACTCCCAAACCCAATACTATTATTTTTATCTATGAAAAAAATTACTGAAGAATAGCTTCTAATCAGGAAAAGAGAAAACAGTGATCAGATGGGAGTCAAAATAAACAATAAATCCTCTCCCCTCTCTTCACACAAATAACATTATTCTCCCTCCAAAATATTATCAATAAAAAGTCCAATGCGGGTTTGATCTGAATGCAAGTTATTTTTTGCTATAATTCTAACATTTTTATAAAATTCATAGCATACAGAATTAAAATTAGTTGTATGTTCTTGTTCATTTGATGAATTCAGATAATTTAGCTTGAAAGAATACAATCCAATTGGGTTTTCTTGCTGGTCCATTTTACAGTTATTTAGGATCCTTATGAACTGGTCAGAATGAGAAACATGTCCCAGAATGAAATGTACAAAAGTAAAATCCACACATGCCATACCAACAACAACAAAAAAGTTGGACAAACTTAAACATTTATTTTTAACCTATTTCTCCTTATCTTCTTGTAAACGTTTAATGCAAAATTTTCTGCAATGGACTTTTAGGTACCAACTGTGTTCTATGAGCATTAGACATGAGCGAGCAAAGCCACAATCCCAATGCATCTGTTTGCCAATTTGAAGGCTGAGTCCTTGTCCTAAGCTGAAGGTGGCTTCATGCCAGTCGTGCTCCAGCCTAGCCTAGAGCAGCTGCAGCGCTGCTGTAAACTGCTGCTTGGCAGTGCTCCAAGGAGCTGATCTGCCAGCTGGTGACTGCTGAAGCAAAAAATCCATTCATCTCTTTCCCTTTTATTTTTCAGTAGCTCAGCTAGAACCAACAACTTCTCTGCCCCAGAAATCCCCAATGCCACTCTATAGTCTGCCTAACTGTGGGCCCAGGAAATGGGTTGCAATTAGGATGCAAATGGGGCTGTGAAATTTCTTTCAAAAGTGTCCCATTTAAAATATATGCAGAGGGGGAAAAAAAGGCCTCCTTTGTTGTTTCAAATATGTCTTAACCTTTAAGAAAACATCTGGATTTGAATTTCCTGATCATATTAAACACATACGCACAAAAAGTGCATGCTTCATGCTTGACTCTATTTCTCAAAAAGAAAACAAAAAAGGGTTTTATTAAAATCTGATTGGCTGTAAAATTTTGATAGGTTTGTATCATGATCAGTTATGTTTTAAGGCACAAATACGTGAGAAATATCAAAATATTTTAGGTTTGATTATTCCACACTGCCGCTAAATACATCAAGATTAAATCAAAATGAGAACTTAATATTCTTAAAATAACTTTTCCATACATTTTTTGAGGATTCCTTTGTGACTGTCATTTTAGCAACTTTTTCTAATATTAGGAAAAAACCCAAGCCCCCTCAATGACCCATCACGAAGTAAAGAAAATGTAGTACTCTCAGAGAAAGCTCCAGAATGAGACACGTTACAAACAAAACACTGTAGTCATTCATCACTTTCCATTTTCAAACCCAATGAGTGAAATATGACAAGAGTTAACAACAAGACAATAGTGCTGCAGGACATTCCAAAATGAATATTGTTTCTGACTGTCTTGTGATAAAGTACTAATAAAAATTGACAGAAAAAGACATGAATTACAAAAACACCCCAAAAAGGGTGCAGATTTTTAAAATGTCTGCGCCTAGAGGCACCTGGGAGTCTTAGATGCCTATAATGTAATTCTTTCAAACAGAGCAGCTTTCTTAAATACATCATTCTGACAGCAGGCATAGAGAATAAAAACAAACAAAATACTCCCTCATCAGCCTACCCACTGCCCCCTAACAACCAAACAGTGGTGTATTCAAAGAACATGGTTTTATCACCCCAAAGGATTTTTGCTTTCAGAGGTGTTAATGGAAGCACACAAGAGAAAGCAATTATTCTCACAGAAACCTGAAGACTTTTTGGATTCTGTCATGTTTTCTACTGCTTAATAATTTTGTATTTGCAGATATGCGAGGAACTAAAATGTTTTTTCAATGCAATATTATCTATACAGCCCAGCACGGCTCACTTGGCCCCTGTCAGGTCTCAGCTGGACTGCAGCACCTTCTGCAGAACTGTCTCCACTTGTGGCCTAGCCCAGAATTCATAAAATATACAGCAACATAAAGGAGTCCAGAAAAAAAACAAGGTGCTATAGCTCTGTATTTCTTTGAAGGATGGAAAGGATTAAGCTCTGCACGACGCTTTTGAATTTATATCCCTTCAGATGCCTTTCGCAGTTCTGACAGTTTATATAAGTGAAGATCTAATTTACCAAAACACAGGTTAACTCAGTACTTCGGTATGCCACATCTGTCACTATGTCAGCTCCTTAATTTCTACACCTCCTCACTTTTGTGCTTACCAGCTTCCAGCCTAGAGATGATCCAATACAAAATGTAATTTAGCTGCTGCAGGTAATTGTTCTTCATTCAAGACTCTTAAAAAGCACTCACTCTTATTGATTTCAGTAGCACCTGAACTGAGAGAGTGGCTTTTACAATCCAGACCTGCATATATTGAACATCTCATGCTGCCTTCTGGCAACATGTGACACATGAAAGGAAGAAAGCAAGCCCAGTGTATCAAAATAAGTCATGGACTAGTATCAACAGGTTATGGGTAAGAATCAGCTGCTGATCAATCTGACAGCTCTGCCATTGTCCATTATAAAATGAATGCAGTCAACATAGATTAGATACATTTCTCTTTCTGCCTTTCAAACACCTTCATTTACTTACTGAGAGCAAAAACTATGGTATGCTAAAATTCATGCCTCTTTGCCATAAGGCCGTTTAAACAAACAGGGAAATTGAATAAAAGTGAACTATAGTAAGCTAATGTCCAAAAATAATTTTCTGGTAGTGGTGATACAGTGAGATAAGTAACTGACTGAGGGCTTACATAAGATATTCATTTTCCCACAACATAGAATTATCCTTGAAAAATTTTATTTATGTAAGTAATAATGCACAGTTAAGGCAACAAGGTGTAAAAGGACGTAATG